TGCTATTAATATCACAGTAACCATGCTCACGTTGATGTGCAGAATGGTGAGTGGGATGGTTGTAGAGATACACACGCTCCAAGTGTGTGGTGATGCATAAACAAGTTGATCCATGCTCATGGCTCTGGCTTTCAGACCATCTTTTTTAGAGGATTATGGGAAAGCATATTCGCTTGACATTAGTGAAACTGTTTTTTCATTTAATTCTCTTTAATGCAGTTACTGTGCATTGCTCAGGCTTAAACTACAATAGCTTCTACAAGTTGGGTGGGTGCAATGAGTTGATTAAATGAGAGTGAATTAGGTGACTCACAGGGCTGTCTGTTCTGAAGGATGTGGAGTCCTATATCCATCGTTCCGGGCGCACGGGTCGAGCTGGGCGCACTGGGATCTGCATCTGTTTTTACCAGCGAAAGGAAGAGTACCAGCTGAGACACGTGGAACAAAAAGCGGTACAGTACAGTTTCCTTCTGTCTGCGAGCGCTCTGATGTGATAAGGGTGGCGTGTTAAAGTGTAATGTTTTGTGCAGTGGCTCAGCTACAGAATGCAGCTCCGGAGGCACCCGGTGGAGGTTCGGGTGCCTTGGGGAGTGTGGGTGCACTGTCAGCTGCTGTGGAGCAGGGAGAGCTCTGCACGTGCCCACGCTTTTTCTGCAAACGCCAGTGAGGTTGTCCCTGTGGAAGTGAGGAAAAGCTCACAGGACTAACAGTATAGTGTTCATCCTGGTTGTGATCTGATCGGTGATGTGCACATGTGCAGCTTTACTGGGAAGTGTTACTTGCATTTTTGCACTTTGTGCACTATTCCATATGATAGTTTTCTTGCCAATTAAGTGTTCAGTTGGGATGAGATTGTTTATTGTTGTCACTTAAAACGCAGACTCACATTTACACTAAGGCTCTGTAACTTGTATTAAATCCAAATCAATCAGACTAAAAGTAATAATTTAGAATGTAGGACTTTATTTTCCCCAAGACTCTGCCAAAATGCTCTCTGTTTATTTCAGTTTAAGGTCACTGAATCATTTGAATGGACCTGGTACATAAAAGCCTTTTTAAGTGTTACCCGTTCATGTGTAACCTCAACCTTGCAATTTTCACTAGGAAAAACTGGGAGTTAAAAGGTGAAAATAAGAAAAAAATGATAGGCTTAAATGCTTGTTTTGTTGGAATTCAATACTACTTCTTTAGAACTGACTTACTTATGGTCTGCAATTTTAATTTGTATTTTGCCTTTTAAATTTCAGGGCATTACATTCAAGCGTGTTGGTGTTCCTACTGCAACAGACATAATAAAGGCTTCCAGTAAAGATGCCATGAGGTGTGTTTGGGAACTCGAGTCCTGCTCTATCTCCCTGCCTTCCTCGTTCAGAAGGGCTGTTTGGGTTGCTCTTTGCTGTCTCTCTGAACTTTCTGATCAGTATTAAAGTCTTGGACTACTGTTTTTCTTCTCTTCCAGAGCTCAGTGAATATTAGTGTATACGTTTTTTAATTTTTTTGCTTTAATTACTTAGGTGCCTGGATTCTGTTCCTCAGACAGCTATTGAGTATTTCAGAGAATCTGCTCAGTTGCTGATAAAAGAAAAGGGACCAGTTAACGCTCTGGCTGCAGCTCTGGCCCATATTTCGGGCGCTACTTCCATCGAGCAGCGCTCGCTGCTGAACTCGGATGCGGTAAGGAAGGGTGTATGGCTTAATGTCTGCCTTGGACCTGGAGAAAAACAACACACCTCTGTGTTGTCTAAAGAGACAATTATTGGTCTCCCTAGATTTCGTTTGAGCACTCGACTTGAGCCACTGGGAACTACTGATTTTGTTAAAGCAACAATATAGCGGCTGTAGAGATACGTCCCTGTAACAGTATCTATTTGGCGCTGTAGAGATACGTCCCTGTAACAGTATCTATTTGGCGCTTAAATGTAGATCGGCAGGTCTCTGGTGTGTGATAGATGTGCTGAAGCTGATTCCTCTGACGGAATGGGACATGCCCCCTTTCTTTTTAGGGCTTTGTTACAATGATCCTACGCTGCTCTGAAGAAATAAACAACATGAGCTACGCGTGGCGAAGGCTGCGAGAAGTGCTGGGTGACGATGTCGATCGGAAGGTGAACAGAATGTGTTTCCTCAAGGGAAAAATGGTAAGTTTTTGGTTCGTGTCTCTGATACTGGGCTCTGCTTGTTGCAGTCCTTTCTCAGCAATGGTCAGGGGAGGTATTAGGTGTTTTTCCATATTCCAAGCACTGTTGGTAAGGACAGAACTGCTGGGCCTCAGTCTGTTGTATTAGGACCTGGGGCTCTGCTGCTGTGCTAAGGAGGTAGGATAATGCATGGCTGTGGGGAGAGCAGGACAGCTAAAAGGTATGAGGTGTGTGCTAACTGAATGACAAAGCAGAATAGGATTTCTTAGGACATACAGTTCTGATAGTGCCTGGCTGTCAGGTGTAGATTTGTAGGCTCTATGGTTTTTAGTTGCAGTCATTTTAAAAGGCTTGACTTGTATCCATTAAAATTATTCTTTCTTTTTAGGGTGTGTGCTTTGACGTTCCTGCAGCAGACCGAAAAGAAATAGAGGTACATTCATTGCAATTTCTCGGTACAGCAGACTGTAGATGAGACTGGCTGGACTGGGTTAGACTGAAAACATAATGTAACCTGTATCCTGCCTTTTTTAGTGGCAGAAGGGATGGCTTGAAGGAATTTAAGAACAGAACGAGCATACGGTGTTTTTTTCCTGAATGCCTTTCCTAAGGCATTCCCCTGTGGCTTGGGACTTTTACACTGAGTAAAGAGGTGATGTGAAGACTCCACCCCTTGTCACTGCTACTGGATTCATCAGCAGCAAGCTTTGTTCCCATTTTTTTCTGTTTCCTGCCTCCATTTTCACCCAGAATTCTCTCCACAGAAAAGTGAATTCCAGGTTTTCGCTTGGCAGAATTAGTATTCTCATGCCAAAATTCCCTAGACTTCCTATCTTTGCTTCAGGTGTTTCTCTGGTAGTGCATCTCTATACCCTCATGGCCTAGTATTCATTCACTCCTAAAGCAATGTTTGGCTCTGGATTAGAGGGTAACTGAGGGGAGGCTGTGGATTTGTAATCAGTAATAATTATAGTGGTGTTCTTAACAATTATAGGCTTAAAATTTTGAAACCAGTATTGGCTACTTCAGTTAGAGGCTCGAATTCCATATACTGGGTCAGAATTTTACCTTTTCAGTTGAGCAAACCTAACAATTATTACATACCCTGTATTGGCATTCCTAGAATTTAACTTGCTATGTCCAACTTTATTTTGATAGGCAAAATGGGAAGATTCAAAACATTGGCGTTTGTGTGTGGCGACTGAATTACCGGAGTTAGTGGAATCCTCACGAGGAGGAGGAGGAGGAGGAGGAGGTGGAGGAGGAGGAGGAGGAAATGGCCGAAGCTTCTCGAGCTCCAGGAATGGGCGGCGTGGTGGCTCGGGTAGAAACAGATTCAGGGGCAGAGGCCAGAAACGAAGCTTCAGCAGAGCATTTGAACATTAACTTCAACAATCCAGAAAAAAACAGGACTGAAGTATTTTATATATTACATTACACTAGGCAGTTTCTGTGTGTTTGTACCACCGGGGAAAATATTTCATTAAAGTACATTTTTTTTGTCAGTACTACTTTGTTCATAAATAAGATTCTGTTCATTTAAAAAAGAACCCCAAAACAAAAATCCCCCAAAAAGCCCACAAGAAAAAATGAAATGTTTCCTTTGTTTCTCATATTGTTTCTCATATTGCTATTTGAATTTTTCCAGAATATGTCTATTGCATTCAAAACTGTATCCTGGTTCACTGTATAATATATAGATCTTAATTGCTGCTCAAACCTGTACATTTTCTGATAAAATTAAATATTATTTTACAACTTCATATTCTGTTGCATATTTGAAGCATTGTTTTGCAAATGGAGATGCAGGTAGGTGCTGGACTTGGGAGCGTGGCAGCAGGAGCCCCTTGAAGATGAGTCCAGTTTTTTTTTTTTTTTTGGTGGAATCAGAATGAAGCTCTTCTTTCCCTAAAATTATTTTTTTTCAGTTTCTGTCCCAAATTGTGACTGCTTATACAACTGTGGGCAGGAAAGACAGATTCCAAAGCGTGAGGAGGAGCCTTGTGAGGGGAGCCCTGTAAGAGATCCATGAGATGTCCCTGTGCGAGTGTTGCAAAATGTGAAATATGTCAAGATTGTCTTAAGTCAGGATGTTCTTTGATGTGATATCTTTGTATATTTTCAAACCTAACCAGCAAAAAAGGAGACCCAATCAGTGGAACAGATGGCAGTTAGCATCCCTTATTCAAGGTCATCCTGGAACTGACAAGCTTTAGGGATGATGTAAATGAAGATGTTCGTGTATGTCTATGTCTACATTGCTAACTTGGCAAAATACTCAAGGTCCATGTAACCTATAGCTGAATTATGTTCATTATAATACTAAAATTCATGCCCACAAGTCAAAAAGACCCTGCCCAGTTGCAGACCCTTCCCCTGAGCATGTCGAGAAGTTGACTGGGATTACGTTACTGGTGCGGAAATTACTAACCATTTCTAATAGACGGGCTGTGCTTGGAAAGTTACTGGCTGAATTTCTGTGTGTTAATAATGGCGTGGAAAGCCCGGTAGCTGTTCTCGACTTGTGGGATCCCACGGAGCACCCGGGCTTGGGCAGCTCCGAAACAGAGAACCAGTGTGTGTCCGTATCGGCTTGCTGCGCACCGGGGAAAGAACGCGGTTTTGTGGGCGACAAGCGGAGATCCGTGAGGGGAACTCCATGGGCGGGTACCGTGAGGGGAGATCCGTGAGGGAGGTCCCATGAGGGTGTACTGTGAGGGGAGATCCGTGAGGGAGGTCCCATGAAGGCGTACTGTGAGGGGAGATCTGTAAAGAGCCCCGTGCGGGCACCCCGGTGGCGCGGGAGCGGGCGGAAGGGGCCGGCGCGGCGGAAGGGGCGGTCCGGGGCGGTGCGGCGGCTGCATGGGGGCCGTGTGGGGCCAGGCGGCGCGGCTCGGGCTCCCGGCGGCGCGGGCGGCGGCGGCCCCGGCGGGCAGCGGCGCTGGGCGGCTCCGCTGGCTGTGCGGAGCCGGGTCGGCCCCGCTGGTGCTTCTGGCGGCCGCGCTGCCCCGCGGCCCGGCCCGCCCTCCTCACTTCCTGCGCGCCGGGGCGGGGCGCGCGTCCTGGGGCCGCCGAGCCGAGAGCGGCAGCGGGAGCGGCGCGGCCGCCGCGCACCTGCCCGGGGAGCAGCCGCCAGCCATGCCCGCCGCCGAGCCCGAGCACAGCCCCGCCGAGCCGCAGGCGCCTGCTGCCGCCGAGCCGCTGCGCCGCGGCCGCCGCAGGAAGGCCAAGGTGAGAGCACCACGTGCGGCCGCGGGGGCGGCCATTTTGTTCGGGCTTCGAGGGGGCTTGGTGTCAACTCGGGGCGGGCGGGAGCGGGGAGCGGGTTCCTCCGGGTAACGGCGGCTTTCCCGCGGCAGGACGAGGCCGCGGAGAGGAAGGCGAAGCGGCGCGGTAAGGCCGAGGGCGAGCAGGCGCAGCCCGAGGAGAGCGGGCTGGGGAATGGCGACCTCGAGCCGCCCCTGCCCAAGAAGACGAAGAAAATCAAGGAGAACAGCAGCGGTTTGGTGGGAGAGAGCGACGTCGCACAGCACGCCCTGGAATCTTCCCCCACTGCGAGCGACAGCGGGACAGCCCCGGCTGCCCAGGGCGGGGCCGGCGGAGAGCAGGACAGCGACGCCGAGGTAGGGATGCTCTGGCAGCAGAGCCCTGGTCTTGATTAATTAGTGTCCTGCTGGTAGTTAGTGGGCTTAATAGCTGTGTGGAGACTTGAGCTGCGAGGGCTGTGGGAGCGCGAGGCAGCTGTCCTAGGCAGCTTATTCCGCTGTTCCACGCATCGGGAATGCCCAGCATCCTGCCCAGCATCCTGCCCAGCATCCTGCCCAGCATCCTGCCCAGTATCCTGCCTGTTCCTGCGGGGCTGAGTGAGGCGCGGCAGCACATGCACCTACACGTGGGAACTGGCTCTCCACGTGCTTTCCCCCTCGCGGTGGATGCCGAGCCTTTGGAGCAGCGTGTCCTGCAGTGCAGGAGGCTGGATAGCAGCGAGCAGTTTCCATGTGTTCCTCTTCTTCCTGTCGCAGCTTGTTTTGTGTCTCGCAGCATAAAGGTTTCTCCCTGCAGCACGGGCAGTCACCATCCCAGAAGCGTACTTTGTGCTGTGATGGCACTTTCTCTGCTGGCAGGACGTCTGAAGAAGTATTTGGCGAGGTGTCCTGTAGGGGAAGGCTCGGTTATCCTCGTTAATTCCTCTTTCATCTGTGGCATCGCAGATACGTGCAAGGGGGCCCTGCTGGTTGCCTTGCCCTGTGTAGGGCCTTCTGTGGGTAGTTTTGTGTTTCAGGTGGGAACGTGAATCAACAGATTTTGTGCTTTTTGTGTATTGGGTGTAACAATGGATCTTTGAAGTAAAAGCTAAATTGTGAGCTTTAAGTATTTAGTGGTGTTTAAAGTTCAAAGCTCTTTGCATGTTATACTGACTAGGTGTCTTTTAAAAGGAAGTTCTGCTTTACACACTGAATTGTGACACCAAGTATGTTTTGTTGTGGAAAACAGTTTTCTAATGGTTTCAGTTGACCCTAAGTTAAGACTTCTAACAAATAGTTTGCCTTTCCTGATTTGCTGTGCATATATGCACAGGTACCTGCATCAAAAGGGTTTTCTTTTTCTTTTAACAGGAAGGAGGTAGATGGTGAAATTGTGGTGGTAAAAGCACCTATGTAGTGCCTATGTAGGGAATGTTATGTGCTTATCTCTGAGGGCTAATAGATTTTTTTTTTTTAATCCTGTTAGGAGCTGACAGAAGAAGCAAAAGAAGGCGCCTTCTCTAATTTCCCTCTCTCCCAAAACACTATCAACCTTCTCACAGGTTAGTTAACGGGGTAAAAGATATTTCTGTGAATGTTTGCTCAGAATTGCACTCTGTTACCTGCATAAGTAGAAGCCCAAGGGTAGATTGTTCTAAATCATCTTAAATTTATTATGTGGTAAGAATATGCGTATGAGCAGTCACTGTAGACTGAAAAAATCTACTGCTTTTAGTAGGCAAAAAGTTTCTGTTTTGTTCATTTTGAAGTGCCCTAAGGTGAATTTCTTATTCTATGCAGTGATAATTCTTTGATCTACATTTCAGAGACAGGGTTTCTTTTCTTGTCAGCATCATTCCACTTACTGTGTGTCTTTACTTCTCTTCCTCTGTCTGCTCTCTAAAATATTGCTTCTTAAATAAGCTTAATGGAGTTTTGTGTGCGAAGACTATTTGCCTCCTGTGAACGGGTTGTCTGTGATTATTCTCATGCTTTTGGGCGTTTTCATATCTCTTCTCAATTAGTTTTGTAATTGCTGTAGGGTTCTTGTCCTCTGTGTTGGGAAGCTGTGCAATTCTTGTTCCTCAGCCAAAAATTCTCCGTGTTCCTTTACGTTTTCCTTGCTCAAAAGTTTCTCCTGGATATATTGTTTCATTTCCACTGTGCAAAATCTCTTTGAAGTTTTGGAATGTTTTGGAACGAACACCCTCACCTACTCCCCACCTTCAAAACTGAGCTACCACAAAATCTTGGACTGTATCAGACAAAATGTGTTGGGTTTATTTTCCTTTCTCTCCTGTTGTCTTACACCACATATCCCAAAGAAGGCTGTATTTCATTGTGGATACTCAGCTCTGTGTTTGGGAGTGGAATACCTTTTGATCTAGAGCAGGAATAAAATATAAAGATAGCGTTTTTTTTCTAAGTCGCATCTCCTGTTGTGTACAGGATTTGACATGATGTGCCCTATCTATTTGGGCTGTTTATGAGGGCTTCTAATTGTTCAGCTTTTAGTGAAGTCTCTTTCAATTATCTTGTAGCTCGAGGTGTAAAATACCTGTTCCCTGTGCAAGCGAAGACTTTCCAGCCCATATATGATGGCAAAGACGTCATTGCTCAAGCTCGAACGGGAACTGGGAAAACCCTTTCCTTTGCTCTTCCACTGATTGAAAAACTCCAGAGTGTCTCACAGGATGGGAGAAGAGGCCGTGCACCCAAAGTAACTTACCACCTAAGGGTTAACACCAAAACCTGAGAGCATGGGAGGTTTTGAAAGCAGTTTTACTATTGCTTTGGGGATTTCTGCCTCAGTTCACTGAGGTTGTTTCTCACTATAAATTCCATGGTGATAATGGAAGGCTTTTGGGGTTTCCTCCTCCCTTCCCCCATGTGTGGAGGCTCAACAGATGCAATTCCAGAGATGGAATTGGTAACCAGGTGCCAGTGATCAGATATCCTATTCCCATGCAAATGCAGTGTATCATTAGACTGCAGAAATGGTAATAGTGTGCAGACTTGTCACCTCTTTCATCCTTCTGTTTTATTAACTTCAAAGGCAGTGTAAATTTTAAATTCTTATTTTCTGAAGGATTTAAAGAGATAAAATCAGCACTTTATCAGTTCATTCTTAAAATGTTGGGGGAAGGGTAGATACCTGAGGAAGGCAGGCAGGTGGGGAGGGCGGATATATGGCTAGAGTGCATCATGCTGTGTGTCTGTTGAAATCTCACTAGTACAGATTTAGTAACTGCTCTTACCCCTTAATGCTGAACTGCATCTTCATTGCCCTTGTTAACGTTACTGAAGTGTCTTATCTGGCTCTAACTTAAAAAAAAAAAAGGATTGCTGTTCTACATCTCAGTTATCTTGCAGTGCTTTGCCTCGTTTCCTCTTGTTGCCTCTGAGGCTGTCTTGGCAGGCTCCAGGATGCAGGGAATATTGCTGGGATGGTGGGAAGCTGTGGGCACCTCTGCAACAAGTGTAGAATAAAAGTGGTAGTACAAGCTGTTTGACATGAAGTAAACCCTTTTTTCATCCTACACCCTCTCCCAAGTACAGCTGCATTTTTGTCTCTTTTTCACTCCCTGCAGGTGCTGGTTCTTGTTCCAACCAGGGAACTGGCTACTCAGGTAGCCAGAGACTTCAAGAATCTCACAAGGAAACTGTCAGTTGCTTGTTTTTATGGAGGAACTCCATATAAAGAACAGCGTGAGTAACCTCTGTTACTGGATTGGAGTCGACTTTCTCCAAATGCATTCCATGAATAAAACTCTACGTTTCCCCCCCTTAGATTTCACCTCAGATGGGAACTCAAGTGGCATTGCTTTCAAAGGAAGCACAAGTGTTACTGTGTACTGCTGACTTTTTACCATGTTGTCTTTTAGCAGTCTGACACTGTCCTTGTTTTCCTGTCTTCCAGTTGATCTCCTTAGAAGTGGCATTGATATTCTAGTGGGAACTCCTGGGCGGATCAAAGACCACGTCCAGAATAGCAAGCTGGAACTTTCCAGCGTGAAGCATGTTGTTTTGGATGAAGTAGATCACATGTTAGACATGGGCTTTGCTGAACAAGTGGAAGAAATCTTAGGATTTGCTTATAAAAAAGGTAAATTCTGAGATCAGGAGAGGGGACAATGTAGAAAACACAGTTATGCTACTTTAAATAACTGCTGTTGCACCCCCAACTTGAATTCTTTGTGTGATGCTAGTATCAGTCCTCAGAAAAGGGCAAGGTAGAATTGGAAAAGGTTCAAAGCAAGGTGACAGATGGCTGAAGTCTTTGCCTTTGCTGTCTAAAGGATACTTAAAATAATTTCCTTGCTTTTAAGTTTTCTTGTTGCTGACTTAGTGCACATAGAAACCTGTCCATTTGAGAGCAACTGTTGCTTTTCTATCAGTTCTCAAGTGTCAGGATCTGTGTCTGAAATCAATGGCCTTTCCTTCCAGGCTCTGAGAACAACCCTCAGACACTGCTGTTTTCTGCGACTTGTCCGCGGTGGGTTTATGATGTAGCAAAAAAGTACATGAAAGATGAGTATGAACAGATTGACCTGATTGGAAAGAAGACCCAAAGGACAGCCACAACTGTGGAGGTGGGTGATTGTGCTGCAGAGCAGTGCAGGTCCTGAGAGCAAGTGGCCTCAATGAAATGGGTTGTGCATTGACTTTACAAATGCGGGTGTGGAATGACTTTTCACATGATTGACATACAGATTTTGTAAGCAAAGCTTTCATGTGGGGGCAGTAGTGTTTGGAGGCTTAAAAAATTTTTTCTTGGTTCCTGTGCCTGACTGAGATTTAACACAGGTGGTGGTCACGTTTCCTTCCCAAACAGCACTTGGCAATCCAATGTCGGTCCTCTCAGAGAGCAGGAGTCCTTGGGGACATCATCCAGGTCTACAGTGGCAGCCGTGGGCGGACCATTGTCTTCTGTGAGACCAAGAAGGAGGCAAATGAGCTGGCCATGAATGCCTCGCTCAAACAGGTACTGAACGGGGAGCAGGGGTTCGGATGTTCAAGGGTCGGATGCCCTGAAATAAATAGGAGGTTGAACTGTGTGGATGACTTGTTTCCGTGGGTGGTGGTTTTAAGACTTATAAAGCTGTTTCTAAAGGTAAAGCTTTGCAGTTAAAATATTCTCTTGGCTGTGATTATGAAATTATTCCTTTGGCTTTAAAATCATGCAGGACACAATCAGTAGGAAATGTGCAGTTTATGCTGAATAAGCTGGAGGCAGTTGTAGTAAACAGAAGCTAGTGTAGTGCACAGATCCCGTCCTACGTTAGTGTGCTTTCTGGATTCCCATATCTTAATGGCATTTATTCTTTGAACAGTCATTAGGAAAATCCAGCTAAAATGGTAGAATGGAATGTCTTGTTGCCCTTGGAAGGTCCATCGATAGTTTGTTCAGAGCTCAGGTGTATTGAGCAGGTCTTCTATCCTTGCTTTTTTTAAGTGTGGGGGAAAGTGCTGCATATTTTTCAGAGAAAATCCCATTTTATGGGATACTAAATACTGATTTATGGAGAAAGAGCAGTGGTGGGAATACATGGTTTACCCAGTATTAGATAAATGTCACATACCATCCACATTAAAAACTTGCAGCAACAATTTTTGCCTGCTGGCCCTGCTGCTTTCACAGTAAATCCAATCACTTTGTTCTTGGGTCAATGTGTGACATGTTTTTTCTTACACTGGTGAGTTCTGCTTTAGCATGCAACTCATTTGAATTCTGAGCTGGTTGCTTTCCCCTTTCTCCTTGTCAAACTTCAGTCTGTTTCCTCTGCCAGTAAAAGTGGAGGCTGTTCAGATCACCTGTAGAGTTTGGGAATGCCCTGAAAAGTTCACTTAAGCTTCTATGGGTTTTTGAGATGGCTTCCCAGAGAGGGGATGTCATGAATGTGTGTTTTAGGTGGCTTGAAGCATCACTGGCAAAAGCAGGTTTGATGTTAGTGAAAGTGTGACAAAGTCCATTGGCCTGATAGGGTTCACTCTACAACCTAGTGGATGGTTAAAGCACAACAGAGAAAAATAGGACTAAAATCAATCAATCTGAAATGAAGAGAAACTAAAAATGATCTGTGTGGATGTTGGGGGTGAAAAAAAGGGTAAGGATAAAAAGGATTAAGGGAGACATTCCCCTTGAGTCACAAGGTTCAGAGTGGACCCCTTTGCCAAACAGCCCCGGAGGTGACCAGTGGTTTAGGCCTAAAGGTTTTAACAGCACTTAAACAATAGCTTAATTTAAACAGTTTAACAAAAGAGTCACACAGAGTTTATTACAGCCCAACAGTAACTCACTCATAGGCCTAACTTGCTTATGAATTGAACGTGCTTAAGGAGTTCCCCCCGAATTCAGTGGAGCAGGTCCAATGCCTTTGCATCTTCTCAACATGTGAGGGGCTGGGCCTCGAGGGCGTCAGCACAGGATCCAGCATTTGGTGCTGCTCCTCCAAGAATAGCAAACTTGGGGGTCACAAGAGAGCTGGGTTTAGTCATAGTTCTTTTCCATCCTGGCTGCAATTCAGGTCAGTAATAATGAAAATGTCGTTCCACTTGAGTTGTGTTGCAGGCAAGAAAAATAAAGTTTCCAAGGCTGTTCATTACAAAGCAGGAGCTCATTAGGCAGTACAAGTTCCTGGGAACTGAGACAGTGTGTCTGATGAGCTCTGGAGGAGCTCAGCCCAGGTGCTGTTCCTCAAGGCTGAGGCCTAATTAACATCTCTGCAGTCACAGTGCTGCCTGAGGAGGGAGCACCACCACAAGAGAGAGAAGTCTCTTGCTACCTCTTGACAAGCATTGCTTTAGTAACATTGCTTCCAATTGTTCCCGTGGAAGTAAAAGCTGAGGTTGGCCCCCTTGGCACGTCCTAGTGAAAAATTAGGAGTGCTATTGTTCCAGAGAAAGATCAAGCCACAAAGTAAGATACTTTATATTCTTTTGGCATCAGCTCTGTAATTATGTTCTGTTGCTCTACACAGTGTTTTGGGGTTTGTAATTAAATGTCTGTAGATAATATGGCCTAGACTCCCCCTCAAAATGCTTTGTGAATGGTTTGTTACACTGACAGGATGCCCAGTCCTTGCATGGAGACATTCCACAGCAACAGAGAGAAGTTACATTAAAAGGCTTCAGAACCGGTGTGTTTGAAGTTCTGATTGCAACAAATGTAGCTGCCCGTGGTTTGGATATTCCTGAGGTTGACCTTGTTATACAGTGCTCACCACCAAAAGTAAGTCATTAAGGGAAACTAAAATTGTTGGGGGTTTTTTGTGGTGCCAGAGTGGTTGGTTATTTTTCTGGTTCACCAGAAGTATGTTCCGATTCACAAATGAAGTAGGTTTTTCTGTAAATGCCAGACCTAAAATTTCCTAGTTAAACTTTGTGATTTTGAGCTTTGATTAAAGTAAAAGTGTTGGGTTTTGTTTACTCTTGAAAGTTGTAAGATAGGTTTTGACATTGTGTGGTGTAGTTTCATTACAATTATAAAATACTCCTGCTGTCTTTTTCTTCTTCTGAAACTCCAATGGAGCTTTTTATTTAAATAAAATCAAAATGTTTAACAAGGTAATGTTTGTTAAAGCTGAGCAGTGTATTTGGGTGGGGCATTGTACCCAAACCTAGTTGATTTATGTGTAGTTACAAGTTTGGATATAAACACAATGTATCACTTTTTAGGCTTCTGAATTAGAATTTAGCTTGCATTTAATCTGAAATGTCGACAGTTGAATGACATGAGCTTCTCTCCTGTTGATCTGAATTTCTGAAGGATGTTGATTCCTACATCCACCGTTCCGGGCGGACGGGCCGCGCTGGCCGGACCGGCATCTGCATTTGTTTGTTTCAGAGAAGAGAAGAAGATCTTCTGAAACAAGTCGAGCACAAAGCGGTGAGTTCTGCCTCAAACCTCTGCTTAATGAAATTCTTCAGCTCCTACAAGGACCTGGCCACTCTTAGACTCTGTAGCCATGGGCTGCTTGTGAGTCCAGTATGGCACTCATGTCCCATGGGCTGATAGGCCTCAAATGTTGCTGTTGGGTGTTTGTAAATGCTTTTGTATCAACCTGTTCTTGTGTCTCAGGAGTTTTTGCATGTTGGCAATCCTCTGTGGATGGCAGCAGGCAGGCTGGGAATGCATGAGGGAGGAGACCATGCCTTGCATTACAGTTTGCATGTACATTGGAGTAAAGTAGCTCCAGATAAACAAAGCCAGGAACTTAAAAGCTTTATTTTAGCTTTGGAAATAACTTAAATAGAGAGAATATTGATCTCTTAGACAGTAAGTAGAGGTCTTAGTAATGTGACTTAGGTAGGATTGAATTGTAGAGTGCTGAAAACACCTTTAACTGTAATTTGTTTTCTTGATTTCAGGGGATTACATTTAAGCGTGTGGGCGTTCCCTCTGCTACAGATGTAATTAAAGCTTCAAGTAATGATGCCAAAAAGTAAGTTTATTTGCCTGTTCTTAGAAAAGGTCTAAAGATGCTCCTCTAGATACTGTTAATGCAAAGCCTTAAGGGATCAGAGCTGTATGTGGGCATACACATGCAGGCTTCGCCTGTGTTGTTGAAGTCAACTGCTTTGTGAGTAGACATCCTAAGATGGTCTCAGTAAACCTCTGTGTGCTGAACATAGACCTTTTCATAGAACATAATGTTCTCTAAGTTCTTGCAAAAATTAACCTTTGTATCATCAGAAACCAGTAATAGATCAAGGATTTACTGTCACGAGGGGAAACTGATTTTGTCTGCTCAGATGATACAGTAGCAGTATGTTAAGAGCAATACCTGGTATGATGAGGAATTACTCTGCAGTAGTGAGGGTGTTTTAGCCCTGTCCTGTGTTTTTTTGTGTTGTTTTATTCCCAGGGGTTGTGTTTTTTATATTCCATGCATTTCTGTTTATATTTGCTAGCCCATTGGTCAAAATTACATTGAAGTAGATTAAAATAAAAGCAGATGATGGGCATGGTGCTGGGTGCACTGTACTGAGAAAGGGTGGGAGGTGCCAGGGTACCCAAAGGAGCGTTACAGAAGTAGCTGTTCTTAGTTCCCATTTTTTTTTTTGCTTGCCTTTCCCAGAAATAACCAATTTAGGCGATGCCTTAAACACGACTGCACTTCACACCGGCCTTTTCTGATCTCTTCAACTTTTGTTGTCACCATGTAGGTTGCTGGAGGACATTCCTGCTTCTGCAGTCGACTACTTCAGAAAATCTGCTGAAGAGCTCATAGAGGAGAAGGGGGCAGTGGCTGCCCTGGCTGCAGCCCTGGCCCATATTTCAGGGGCAGCTTACATCCAGCAGCGCTCCTTGCTCAACTCCACGGCCGTGAGTGACCGTGCCCCGCGGTTAACGGGAATGGATGTGTGAACTGCTTGTGTCCAGTCCACATGTGGCACCTTCTTCAGTAGGGTTTCTGAAGAGCTGACATCCCCAAACTCCTGATTTTTTTTGCTTGTTACTTAATTGAAATCAGCTCTTACTGGGAGAAACTTGTAATCTGTAAATTTCCTTGTGATGAGAGTTAAAAGAATTTCTCCAGAGGCTGACGTGGCAGAAGACTGATGCTCTAAGAGAGTTTAACTAATGGCATTTTACAAGCAAACAAATTGGTTTGTGCTATTGTAGTTTTCCCTTATAAGGAATCTTTTTACATTTTTGTAGTATTTCAAGTGTAGCATGTGATTACCTGATCTCAAAGACATCTTTAACCAAAGGAAAGTACAGCCCTTCCTTTTTCTAAGGCGTTTAGGGAGAACGTTGCCCACTTCGTTGTGTGGTAGCACAGTTCTGGACGTAATGTGGTTCTCATATCAGTTTGGGGGTTTTTTACTTGTTTTCTAGCAGTAAGTTTATGTATTGAATAAATGTATCTCTTCTTCTGACTAAAATGCAGAAATGCTATTAGCCTTCATATCAATGGGCAATCCTAGGTTAGATGGATGCATTCAGCTTCTTAGGAGGCTTTTGGTTGCTTCACTTTTGGGGAGCTGATTGCTTAGGATAAAATACTGCATAACATATTATTATTATGTCGTTCGTTAGTGATTTACAGGCTATTTGACTA